TGCCTCCCAAGTGCTGGGATTAAAGGTGTGTGCCACCAACGCCCGACTAGAGACAGTCAGCTTTAAAGGAAAAACCCTAGGAGGAGACAGACCACAGAGAGAAGGGAAGGGAAGTATGGAGAGGTTACTGGGGCCAAGGTTGCGCCTCCACCCTGACCTGCTGTCACTCATACTTGTGTTTCCCCTTCACAGACCAGATGTTCGCTGCCATCCAGCCAGGGCTTGCAGAGGGGGCCCAGTTCCTGGGGGGCCTGCCTCCTGGAATATGTCAACCAGAGCTCCAACCAGACAATAATTCCAACTTTGTGGACAGTGCTAAGGATGCCAATAAGAACTGGCATGGTGTGCCAGGCAAAGTGGAACCCCTCCTGAGGAGTTCCTCTGAGTCACCCTCTGACAACCAGGTCTTCCAAGCCACTGGGCTCCTCGAGGCGGGAGTCCGAAGCCCCCCGGAGGGTGCAGAGATCTGTGGTGCTGAGCCTGAGAAGTCGAGTGGTGCCAGCAATGTCTGCTCTCCTCTGGAGGACATTGGCTATGCCAGCAGTTCCTTGAGCATCGACAGCCTTAGCAGCAGTCCAGAGCCTATCTGTGAGACTCCTCGAGGCCCGAGCCCTCTGGATCCCCTTCTGCCCTCTGTGGCCCGGGCTGTGCAGCAGCTGCAGGCTCAGGAGCGCTACAAAGAGCAGGAGAAGGAGAAGCACCATGTACACTTGGTGATGTACCGTCGCTTGGCACTGCTTCAGTGGATCCGGGCTCTCCAGCACCAGCTGGTTGACCAGCAGGCCCGACTGCAAGAGAGCTTTGACACCATCCTAGACAACCGAAAGGAACTTATCCGCTGTCTCCAACAGAGGGAAGCACCTTGCAGGCACCAGGACCATTGCTAAGGCTGTGCACAAGTGTGTGTATTTGCAGGCCGGTGTGTGGTTATGCACAAGTAAGTATGTATTAGTTGGCATGAGTGCAAGTAAACATAAGTATGTATGTGCTAACATGTAGGCATATGTGGATGAAGTTATATGTGTTATGTGTAGCATGTATGTTTATGTATGCATGTGTGGCTAGGTGCCTAGGAATATGTATATATTCCCCAAATAAGATATACATGCAAAAGAGTTGTATGCATATGTATCAGTTAAATATATAGGCTTATATTGGGTGTGAATGAACCTTTGTGTGTTGAGATTTATATGTGCCAGTGCTGGCATAAGAAGCATATGTTAGGAACATGTGTATTTGCAGAGAGACGTAAGATCAGATGTGTGCAAATATCTGTTGAATTGTACCTGAAGGACATCCACCCATCCCCTATGTTTCCAAAGTCTACCCCAGCCTTATTCTTTCCTGGAGTTTCCTAGGCTACCTTCTATCCCTTCACCTCACTTAACCTTGCTCTGTCTGCTAAGATCGCTGTCTCTAATGTTGGCTTTTGGTAAGAGCTTTTTTTATTTGGGGGTAGTTGCTTTTTGTTTTGCTTATTGCAGTACAAGGGATTGAGTCCAGAGCCTTGTGTATGCTAGGCAAATATCTTACCACCGAGCTGCACCCCTAGCCCCTGTTAAGAGGCTTTATTGGCTGCTCTAGCCTTCCTTTGCACACTTGCTGCTGTTTGGTGGGGGCAGTTGGTGGAAAATGGGTACCAGGGAGGGAACTGGCAGGCATGGAGGAAGGGATAAGGAAAGATATAAGGAACTGTCTTCAAGGGATGTGGTGGCGTACACCTTTAATTCCAGCACTCAGGAGGCAGAGGCGGGAAGATCTCTGTGAGTTCCAAGCCAGCCTGGTCTGCAGATCAAGTTACAGCCAGGGCTGTGCAGAAAAATCCTGTCTCAAAAAAAAACAAAAAAGAAAAAGAAACTATCCTCTTGACCCCTCTTTGGCTCCATGGGAGGTGGGGGGTGGGAGAGAATGAAGATGGTAGATCTCTCTGAAGAACAGAAGAATGGAATTCCAGAGCACACCACATTATCCCACTGTGAGGAGAGGCTGAACACCATGTTAATTTAAGTTTCTGCTGAAGGGTACTGTGTGTATGTAAACATGCAGGTATAGACCAGAGGCACCAAGGCTGTCAGGGCGCTGGGAGGAAAATTCCCTTCTCTTCACCTCCCCCTTACTGCCTACCTCACTTTAGCAACAATGAATGTCCAATTGTTTTGGTTCATTTTTTCTGAAATCTGACTGTCCAGAGGAGCCAGAGCTCAGTTTTCCAAGCAGGCAGAGGGCAGTGTCAGCCCAGCCTCCTGAAGCTCTTGGAATGGTTGGCTATACTTTTTTTCTGCATTACCCCTTTGAACAGGGATGGACAGGCCCCAGCAGAGGCTTCAAGCCTTGGAGATGAATGCATATTGGGTCAACCAATAATTAAGGTAGTAGAGGCTTTTGTTTTGTTTCTGGGTGCCAAGAGAATGCAGGGTCCTAGTGGGTGAGCGATGACATGAAGAGGGGAATGGTGGCAGAGACACAGAAAGCACAGATGGTGCCTCTGGCCCTCAGTCTCCCCACCTGCAAAGTGGGGGCCCTTCCACTCTATCTCCAAAGAGTTTCATCCTCAATGGGTTGGTGGGTGAAATGTGGGCCCGGGGGACTTCTATAGTTCTTGCATGTTGAATGTGAACCTGGCCTCTGGACCAATCCTGGATAAATAAACTAAGGCAGAAAATTAAATTGAGGATGTGCTTTTGTTCTATCTGTTGCCTGGTGGCCTCTTTCACACTGTCTTCTCCTTTTTAGCTGGGGCCAAGTGCTGGAAGTCTGGGAGACACTGGGGAGGAAGAAAAAAAATCAGAATTTGTCTAGTAGTCTCAGGGTCTTCCCATCTGACAGTGGTGAAGGTGTAGGTGTGATGATTTCACTAGACACAAGATAAATGATAACTGGGTGCTTATTAGGGAACACTTACACAGATAACAAAGAACCACGGGAGTGTTTCTCTGCCCTTCGTATCTTATCTGCTGACCCAACAGAAAGAGAGCTGAGAGAGACCAGCCTTATGCTTCTCTTTCTGTTTCTGTTCACCTGAAGCCACCCCAAAGGGGTGTGGCCACTGTTACAGGCTCACAGGCAAGATACCAATACACAGTAGAGAAGACTTGGCTTCTGCCCTAACAGCACCCTCAGGGATTGTCCTTGTCCTAAGGCACACTATTTGAATAGATATTGTGGCAGCATACCATACACCCCTGCCAGGACTGTAGAAGAGTTAGTGAGGGCCTTTGCATGGCTCTGACACAGGTGTAGTTTTAGTTTATTATATTGTGGTATTACAAATTGAACCCAGAACCCTGCACATTTGAGACAAATACTCTACTACTGAGCTGTGTCCCAGCCCCTGGATGTAATATTTAATAACATGCCTGACTTCATATAGCTGTTGATGGCAATTTAGACAATTGTCTTCTGTAGTTTACATGATTATTTCTTAATTTCTCAAAACTTCAGACACTAAACATGTAGCTGAACAACAAAGTACTTATTTAGCATGTGCAATCATTTTCAGCCTCCAGCACTGAAAACAAAATTTCAGGCATGGGAGTGAAGGAGTGAGTATCTGTAATCCTAGCAGTTGGGAAGAGCAGGTCAGAGGATCAGGAGTTCAAAGTCATCCATGGCTACACAGTATCTTTACCTGCTGAACCATCTCACCAGCCCTAACTTTTTTTTTTTTTAACAGAAAAGCAATTTTTTTTTCTGTTAAGGAATTTGGATCTAAAAATTGGAATATCTCTTTTTTAAAAAAAACAGGAGGAGCCTTTAAAAAAAGTAAAGTTGTGCCATGTGCAGCCCTGCATGCCTTTAATCCCAACACTGGAGAAGCAGAGGCAGGGGGAGCTCTGTGAGGTAGAGCCCAGCCTGGTCTATATAACAAGTTTCAAGACAGCCAGGGATTCACAAGTGAGACCCTATCTCAGAAACACACACCTACCCCAAACCAAAGTAGAAGTCTACCTGTTGTGGTTGGGGCATCCTTATAATCGCAGCTAGGGAGGTTGGGGCAGGAGGATCAGAGGTTTAAGACCAGCCTGGAGTTGGAGTTGGAGTGAGTTGGAGGACAGCTTGGGCTGTCAGAGACTCTGTTCCAAAATAAATAAACAAATAAAGTGGCTTAATATTCCTTTCCACAAAGAGTTCTCTGGGGCCTGTAAGATGGCTCAGTGTGGGTAGGCACATTTGTAGCCAAGTCTGATGACGTGTTTGATCCCAATGCCCCACGTGGTGGAACAAGAAAAACCCAGCTCCCACAGGTTGATCCCTCATTTCCACACGTGGCACATGCGCCCCCAACTCATGTACACAACTCAACAAATAACTGAAAAAACGATCAAAATCTTGAAAGTTCTTTGGAGGTTGAGGATGCTTTGCATGGGAGAGCTGCTAGGTTTGAGCCCCAGTATGAGATGGTGAGGGTATGAAACGGGTGCTGGGGAGCTCTCTGAGGTGAGCAAAAGGTGAGAATCAGGCCAAGGAAACAGGAACACTGTATCTTACAGGACCTTACTAGTCATTTGGGGTCTAGGGATAGGCCCGGTTATTGGGGTGGAGGTAGGTTTGAAAGGGAACAGGCCAGAGCCACAACCAATAAAGCAGGGCTTGGGGCCAGGAGGCAGGACCCCAGTGCCTGAGCTAACCATATCCAGAGTTGTAGCTCTCTGTCATGTGGGAAACCAATGTGGGAGGAGCTGAGGCTTACCTCTGCACCTCATATGGGGCAGCCTTAGTTCCCTCACCTGTGGCAGTTACAAAGCTTAAGCAAATGGACCTTAAGATGTTCTGTAGACATTAGGTTCAAACTCCTGCTCTGCACAGGACCTCCAGGGCCCCACCCTGCCCCTGCCCCTGCCCCTGCCCCTGTCCTTGCACATCTCTGGCCTGCCAAGATATCAGGAGTCCAATGTAGAGACACGCTGAGTCTGGGAAGGAGACATTGATACTCTGAGCAGGTCTCAGCCTGAGAATTTTTTTAATCTGGAAGCTTGTAGTAATTGTTGGGGTGGGGGTTTTTAGTCCCTGGAGATGGAAGGGAATAAGGAAAGGCTTGTGAACTTGAAAAGGTTTGAGCTGAAAGTCATTGTCGCCTCTTCCCCTCTTGAAGAATGACATTTCACGATCACAAGCAAGGATACCAACCCGGGTTTTGAATGCTACATGAAGAACTTGGAGCTTGGTGGTGGGAGCACACAACTTTAATTCCAGCACTTGGGAGGCAGTGGTAGTCAGATCACTGTGAGTTCGAGGCCAGCCTGTTCTATAGAGCCAGTTCCAGGACAACCAAGGCTACACAGAGAAACCTTGTCTCGGGGAAAAAAGAACAAAAAAAAGAACTTGATCTTGGTTAGGAAGAACATGGGATGATATTGGCACCAATAACAGACTCTGCAGTACCAGACCTGAAACATGAAGGACCTGCCAAGGGGTAGACAGCCCTCCATAGGGAGAGAGAGGACAGTTCCATTAATCCAGATCTTGCTTAGTTAGGATTTCTACTGCTGTGATTAAAGCATATTGCAAAGGAAAAGGTTTACTTGGCTTACATGTCCTGATCACAGTCCATCATTCAGGGAAATTGAGGTAGGAACTCAAGCAGGGCAGGAGCCTGGAGGCAGGAGCTGATGCAGAGGCCATGGAGGAGTGCTGCGTGCCTGGCTTGTTCCCCATGGCTTGTTCAGCCTGCTTTCTTATACCATCTAAGACCATCTGCCCAGGGCTAGGACTACGTAAACATGGGCAGGGTCTCTCCCACTGATCACTGATCAAGACTTGCCTTCAGGGCAGTCTTGTGGGGGCCTTTTCCTAATTAAGATTCCTTCTTCCCAGACACATCTAGGTTGTGCAAGCTGACAGAAAAAACTAACCAGGACAGACCCCAACTAGGTCAGCTCCAACAACATTATCAGAGGGGATGTGGTTAAAAACTGGGGTTCAGAAAATGATCTGGGAACAAAGGAAGAATACAGAGTTGGGAAGGTCAGAAGGCTTCAAAATAAGTTAAGTGGCCTCCATAGCCTCGGACCCAAAACCTGTAGAGAGCTGTGTAGTGGCTACCTCTGAGGACAGTGGCTGTCCCCTGATGGCAGCCTGTGATCTGTCTACCAGACTTCACTCAAATCCAGTGTTAGTGCCTCTTATTGGGTGCCTGTAAGGTCACAGGAACAGGGAGGAGCAATGCCTTGTTGCCCCTTCTTGGAGGAGGAAAAACCCATAGAAGAGCAGGCCCGGAGGACTGTGGTTTCCAGTGCACAGGGGACTCATATGTCCCAGAACTAGCTGTGCCTCGTGGTTTTCACCTGTAAAATATGGGTAACAGCAGTGCTGTCCTTACAGGGTCATGAAGGGGTCAGAAGAGTAAATCATATGTGGAAGGCTTAGGCCTGAGCCTGACTATTTGGAAGCAGCCCAGATACCCTACCTGTTATTATTTGATGAGGAGAGGGTGACGGCTATTGGAGGCAGGGTTGTAGCTGTTCTGTGAATTAAAAAGCATTTCTGGGGCTGGAGGAGCGGCTTAACAGTTAAGAGCACTGGCTGCTCTTGCAGAGACCAGGGTTGGGTTTCCAGCACTCTGAGGGCAGCCCACAACTTTCTATAATTACAGCTCCAGAAGGATGCAATACCCTCTTCTGACTTCCACAGGTATTGGCAAGTACAAGCAGGCAAAACGCTCATTCACATAAAATAAAATTAATTTGGGAGGGAGGAGCATTGCTGGGCTGGGGGTGTAGCTCAGTTGGTAGAGTGCTTGTCTAGCTTGCATGAAGCCCTAGGTTTGATCATGAGAGCCTCATAAAACCAGGTGCAGTGGGGGAAATGCCTGTAAACCTACAAAGGAGGTAAAAGCTGGAGGATCAGAAATTCAAAGGTTATCCTCAGTTATATATAGCAAGTTCCAGGCCAGATCTTGTCAAAAACAAAAACAAACAAACAAAAAACTTCGGATTGCTACAGGCCGTGTATCTTGCTGCAGGTCAGTACCAGGCTAGTGAGTCTAACGATTGCTTCTGGTGAGAAAGGCATTGGATCTGGAACATGAGCCAAACCTCACATACATCCTGGCATACATCTATTCCATACCCTGGACCAGGTGTACAAACACACCTGCACCATTGCTTACTCCCAGACACAAACACACCCTCCCCCCCAACCCCTCAGAAATAAGACTGCAATTTGCTAGGAGGGCCTGAGGGATTCTACAGTTAGACTTTGCCCTATCCCAGATCCCCCCACCTCCCTAACTCCGCTCCTCCCGAAATCTACTCCGCCCCACCAAGTCCCCAGCCTTAGAGCTAATCAGTCCATCTTCTAAACTGTGTTTCATCACCAAAAATTCGAGGTGAGATTCCCTGGGTTGAGCAAATGGCAGGTGTACCGGACCAGAGTGGCGCGGGAGAAATAGAGGGTTTGTCATATTGAGGTCTGGCATGTTAGAGCCTGGGAGGGGCTGAATCCCTGGGGACCTGTTCAGTCATCAGGGACCAGCGGGCGAGCGAAGTGCGATCGGCTGACGTTCGGGGGTCCCCAGGCGGGGCGCAGACAAAGGGTGGCCTTCCAGAGCTGGCGGCGCTCGCGAGGCTGCGCACAAAGCCAGGGGTGGTGGCGCCGACCGCCCCACACGCCGTGCTGCACCCGGCTGCAGATCATCACGGTCCCGAGCGCCTTTCCCTGCGCCTAATCCCAA